TTGTACCTATGATGAAAATGACAGACCTCTTTCATTATTTTAAGTGGGAGAACTTGCACAATCGGTGGCTGACTGAATACTTTTTTGCCCCACTGTATATATATATTTCCAAATTCTTGCCTGTAGTTGCTAGCTATTGTTCAAATGGAGCTACTACACCCATCAAAACTGGGAAAACTGTCTTTGTTGATTTTTAGTAAATTTTTCCAATTTCATTTTTGTTACTGTGAAGGGGAAAACCATATTTTTCCCAAATTCTTGCCTGTAGTAGCTAGCTATTGTTCATTGGGAGCTACTACACCCATCAAAACTGGGAAAAATATCTTTGTTGATTTTTAGTGAATTTTTCCAATTTCATTTTCGTTACTGTGAAGGGGAAAACCATATTTTTCCCAAATTCTTGCCTGTAGTAGCTAGCTATTGTTCATTGGGAGCTACTACACCCATCAAAACTGGGAAAAATATCTATGTTGATTTTTAGTGAATTTTTCCAATTTCATTTTCGTTACTGTGAAGGGGAAACCCATATTTTTCCCAAATTCTTGCCTGTAGTAGCTAGCTATTGTTCATTGGGAGCTACTACACCCATCAAAACTGGGAAAAATATCTTTGTTGATTTTTAGTGAATTTTCCCAGTGAATTTTTCCAATTTCATTTTCGTTACTGTGAAGGGAAAAACCATATTTTTCCCAAAAGTTTGGCTGTAGTAGCTAGCTATCATTGAATGGGAGCTACTACACCCATCAAAACTGGGAAAAATATCTTTGTTGATTTTTAGTGAATTTTTCCAATTTCATTTTCGTTACTGTGAAGGGAAAAACCATATTTTTCCCAAAAGTTTGGCTGTAGTAGCTAGCTATCATTGAATGGGAGCTACTACACCCATCAAAACTGGGAAAAATATCTTTGTTGATTTTTAGTGAATTTTTCCAATTTCATTTTCGTTACTGTGAAGGGAAAAACCATATTTTTCCCAAAAGTTTGGCTGTAGTAGCTAGCTATCATTGAATGGGAGCTACTACACCCATCAAAACTGGGAAAAATATCTTTGTTGATTTTTAGTGAATTTTTCCAATTTCATTTTTGTTACTGTGAAGGGAAAAAACCATATTTTTCCCAAAAGTTTGGCTGTAGTAGCTAGCTATCATTGAATGGGAGCTACTACACCCATCAAAACTGGGAAAAATATCTTTGTTGATTTTTAGTGAATTTTTCCAATTTCATTTTCGTTACTGTGAAGGGAAAAACCATATTTTTCCCAAAAGTTTGGCTGTAGTAGCTAGCTATCATTGAATGGGAGCTACTACACCCATCAAAACTGGGAAAAATATCTTTGTTGATTTTTAGTGAATTTTTCCAATTTCATTTTCGTTACTGTGAAGGGAAAAACCATATTTTTCCCAAAAGTTTGGCTGTAGTAGCTAGCTATCATTGAATGGGAGCTACTACACCCATCAAAACTGGGAAAAAATTCTTTGTTGATTTTTAGTGAATTTTTTCAATTTCATTTTTGTTGCTGTGAAGGGGAAAACCATATTTTTCCCAAATTCTTGCTTGTAGTAGCTAGCTATTGTTCAAATGGAGCTATTACACCCATCAAAACTGGGAAAAACTACTTTTTAAAAGCAGTTTTTATTGTATTCACCAACCCATCTGCAACGTTCTGTCAAATCTTGCACTTTGCAGACGGTCCCTTGCTGAGAGCTTAGCACACGTACGAGCGGAGACTTCATCTTCATTGTTTTTCGTGTTATAAATAGTCAGCTGCAGCCTAAGTACAGTTTTTTTATATAGGTGGCAACATTGTGAACAGCATTTAATACTACACTCTTCACTAAACTGAAAATACGGACAGACTTTGAATCCAGGGGGATTTTGTTCGAATATCAGGCGAATATCAAACGTTCGGCTAACTTCACCTCGGTACATGAGCCCAGCGGCTTTGACTGTTTCAAAGCTGCAGTCTGAGGGCTCCTCGTTTCTCTTCATAAGCCTGAAGCATCTAGCTCTAACTACTGTCCCTCGACAATAATTGAGAATGAAGCAGAAACAAAGCACAATTGAATGGTTAAGGTACATCTAGCATCATCTTTTATTTACTAAAATTTAGCATGATTACTTTCACCAATACACAAACATATCATGTTCTTATATAATATGAAAGTCTATAACATACATTTATAATAATAAAGCACCCAAATTAGGTGCATTTGTTACATGTGTAAGTGTTTCATGTATGTGCTTAAGCTAAATGTGTCGTAGCTAATGCCAACTTAGCTGTTAGCGCTAGTTGCTAAGTTATGTCTTACCTTGACACTTGTGTATATACTTTTCATCGAAGAACCCCTTCTCTCGTGAATCTGAGAATTCTCATCTGCGATGGTCTCTGCAGCAGCGAACGAAAAAGCTGGTTATCTGACTGATGTTGAGGAGAGTTTTAAGAGACATTTCTCCTACAACCAGCGCTAACAAGGTGCGATCCAAGTACCTGGAGGCGACACTTCCTGTTCTCGTGACAAACGCGCACTTTCGAATCACTTCCGGGGCACGTTTGTGTTTCAAAGGAAAATCGCAAAATGTAATTTTGACGGTCATTATTGGTTTACTGCATTTTCGTTTTAATTGGATCCACAGAAAACAAAAAAACAAACCAATATTTCAATTTTGCATTAAATTCAAATATTGAGAATCAAAAACATCCCTCGTTATTTGTTTTTTCAATGTTGGTTTTATTTAGAAAATCAAAAGAACGAATGATACACGGATTATAAAACAACATTAAAAGACAAAAATAAAACAAATAAAACGGTAAACAAATGTCACTGTGAAATCGATCGACTAAAGCAGTTTCAAAACAAGTGCAAATTGTTAAAGTGCTTTGTTCACACTGATAACAGCTTGTGGATAAAAACTGTTAGCGTAACGAGATGTCCTGCATCTCAGAGAGCGATATCTTCTGCCAGAGGGAAGAAGCTGGAACATGGCTTTCCCAGGGTGGCCAGAAGAGTCATTGACAATCCTAAGAGCTTTGTTTAAAAGTCTGGATTTATAAAGAACCTCCAGAACAGGAAGCTCACAGCCCACGGTCCTCTTTGCAGAGCGGAGCACCTTGTTTAAAGCTCTCTTTTCTTTATCTGTGATGTTTCCAAACCACACAGACACAGAACCAACAAGTAAACTCTCAATGGTGCAGCGATGAAAGTTAAGCAGAATCTTAGAGTTAGTGGTAAATTCTCTGAGTTTACGCAGAAAGTAGAGACGCTGACGAGCTTTCTTAACGACTCTTAGTATTTTTTAACCCATTTCAGGTCGTTAGAGTTAAACCCAGAAACTTGCACTCCTCTGCGATCTGCACCTGGGAGTTGTCAATTACGACAGGGAAATGAGAACTATTGCGACTGAAGTCGTAGACCAGTTCACATGTTTTCGATGCGTTCAACTGGAGGTTGTTAGTTTGACTCCACTGAACCACATTTTGTATCTCTGCTCTATAAGAGGATTCATCATTGTCACTGATGAGACCGATGATGGTGGTGTCATCCGCATATTTAATGATCAAGTTTGAGTCAGAGGAGGACACACAATCGTGAGTGTACAAAGTAAAAAGCAAAGGACTCAAAATACATCCCTGAGGAGAACCAGTGCTCACAGAAACAGATTTACTAGTGTCCAGGTGACTGTAGACAGAGTTCAGAGCAAAGGAGATGGCATCCTCCACACTCCTGTCATGTCTGTAAGCAAACTGGAGCGGGTCAACACTCACAGGATCTGGCTCTTAATGAGTCTCAGCACAGCCGCTCAAAAGTTTTCATGAGAACAGACGTGAGGGCCACAGGACGATTGTCTTCAGCATACACAGGTCCAGGCTGGGGCTTTCCGGACTGTGGTCCTGGACAAGACACGCCTGACTTCTTCCTGAGTCACAGTGAAGGTACCTTGATTGAAACACTCAGAGAATACAGTAGGACAGGCATCAGCGGATTCAAAGCGACAGTAGAACGTGTTCACCAGAAAAGTGGAGCGTCCAACCCCTCTCAAGGAGTTGGGTTCCACTAGTTCCACTTAAGTTCCACTTAAACTATCAAAAAGATAAGATAGACTTTATTGATCGCACAAAGGAGAAATGTACATGTCACATCTGGCATGGATAGAAACACTCAAGATTGTGCTAAAAGAAAAATGTACAAACATGTTAAATGCAGGATATTATGTACAATAAAAAGTGTCAATTTAAAAAGTGGCAATCGGAAACAGTGTCAATAGTAGTGCAGGTTTTTCCAGTCTTAATGCAGTGACTTAAAGTGACTTGTTGTACAGTCTGACAGCAGTGGGGATAAAGGCCCTGCGGTTGCGCTCCTTCTTACTGATGTTTTTATTGATTTTTATTAGATTGCCAATTTGTTTTAGAAAAAATTCTAGGTTTTGACCATACACAGCATCTACCACCGGAGCATGAATGTTACAAACTCCCAAGCAAACATATGATTGGAAAATATAGCTTTAAAGTGAGAAAACTCAATCACCATAACACCATACTCATCATAGGCTCTATATAAAAATGAATACAACAAAGGAGACTTCCCTAAGGAATATGCCATAGTCGAAACATGTTGGAATAATATGAACTAATTATTCGTCAGTCAGACATGTTTCAGATATTAAAATATTATGAAAACCAAATGTTTTCAGTTTATATTAGAATATGTTACTTGCAAAGTAGCCAATTGAACCTACACATGCATTTCTACTAGTGATAAATTGTATTGATTTGGGCTAATAAATGCAGAAGTATCAATATCCAATATATTAAATGATCATTGGAAACCACTTGGTAAATTGGTTGCATCAGTATCAGGACTTACAAGGCTTTTCATAACAATATACTGGTCCGCAAATAAACTAGCAGATTATTCTGGTTGGCAGTGAGGCCCTACTGCCAGGAGTAATTTAAATAAATATGACGAATGATAAATTGGAAAAAACGGAAAGGAGTGAGCGGGTCATTTCCAGCGGTTGATGCGGCGCAGTTGGATGTAAGCGAAGGACATGCAGACCACAATGATCCCCAGCAGAGCCACCTGGTTCTGCCAGTACCCCCACACAGAGTAATCCAGACCCTGAGCCTGGAGGAACAGCTCTCCTGGGATCCTGTACACACGCACACGCAGACACAGCAGACACACAAGGGTATGAGTTCATATGAGTGATTTAAGGATTTACGTCCAACATGAGCTTGAAATTTACAATTTACAGACTTCATCACAGCTCTAGAAGAAGATGAATTTAACTTAAACAACTTTGTGGACAGTCAACAAAATGAAGAGCGCACATTTGTAGTGTATAAATACGTATATGAATATAATACATATTTGTCTTAATCTTGACTATAATTTAACATTTTTTAGTTAATAATACAACTAAATGCAAAGTTCTTTTACAATTGAACGCAAGGATGAAAGGACAGTCCTCACCTGGTTTGGTTACTGTAGAAGATTTGTCCAGTCATCTCATTAATGAAAGCCGCCTGGAGGGACAAGGGAGCATTTGTATGGTATGGTATGGTTTTTATTTTTTACAAGGACAGTGTACAATAAACTTTTTTAGCCAAAAGAAGAGATGCTTTACTATGTTATTTCAAAACACGACATCAGAGACACTAGATTATGGCTACTCAGATTTGTGCTCAGTCTATATGTGCTGTCACTACCTCTAATCTAAGTTGTATTAATTTGTGACAGTTACATAAAGATAGTTTTTAATGAGGTCCTCCCCCTCTGTGTGGGTACTCTTCAAGGGCAATATCCTCACCATAGACTGTATATATTAACGGACATAGTCACGCCTATCTCCGCCGTTCTAACTAATGGGCCAAAAATTGTGCTCTACTGGAACTATCCAAAATGGCCGCGAATGGTCCCGCCCACAATAAAATTGTGAAAAAACGCATCTGCGCATGTGTCAGCTGGCGCAAGCTCCATTTATTTGAACGAGAGACTTCAAAAATTCACAGCAAGTAAAGTAAAGTGGACCAAAAACATTCACCCCCTCAGCATTGACACACATGTGGAACGGAGCTTTGGGCCAAGAGCCAACTTTTGGTCCATCCTGTAAAGACGTTTTTGAGAGGTCTGCCAATGCTATTTGTTAGCATTGGCTAATTCTTCTTCTGGGTCCACCCCCATCGGCCTAGGGTGGTATTGCAAGCATGTCAGCGCACATCATTTTGGCCACTTTTGAGCCGGGACCCGCCCCCCCACTGATCCTCACCCACCATCATAACAAACTTATAGTGTTGACATTATATTGTTGCCCTTTCTGCACTTTCCTTGTACACTCACCGGCCACTTTATTAGGTACACCTTGCTAGTACCCCCTTTTGCCTTCAAAGTCTTAATCCTTCGTGGCATGGATTCAACAAGAAACTGGACACATTCCTCAGAGAATTTGGTCCATATTTGATAGCAACATGCAGTGTCTGCAGATTTTTCAGCTGCACATTCATGATGCGAATCTCCTGTTCAACCACATCCCAAAGTTGCCCTTTTGGATTGAGATCTGGTGACTGTGGAGGCCATTACAGTACAGTGAATTTAATGACAAGGTGTATCCAGCTGGCAGTAGCCATCAGAAGATGGGTACACTGTGGTCATAAAGGGATGGACATCCTCAGGTTGGCTGTGGCGTTGCAACGATGCTTAATTGGTACTAAGGGACTCAAAAAGAGTGCCAAGAAAGCATCCCCCACACCATTACACCCCACCACCAGCCTGAACCGTTGATACAAGGCAGGATAGATCCGTGCTTTCATGTTGTTTTTCATGTCCTTTGAGACGTGTCATGAACAAATAAAAAACACATCAATATTTCAAATATTGTCTTTCCCACAACAACTTTGACTTACATTAAGACCATAACTGAAGATGCTGAGCCACTGGAGCCACGCGAGCCAGCTCAGCATGGAGTTGAGATTGACTAAGTAACCGCCAAACACCTGAGGAGATAAACACACAGATTGATAAAGTACAAATACAATAAATTATAAAGAAATAATGAAATACAATAGGATCCAGTCAAATACATTCCGATAGTTTGAAGATCATGAAAAGCAGGTCAGCACAAGCTAGTCATTTTGGTTGGAGGTTCAGTTTTCATAATGAGCACTGTTTTTCAAAATGTTATATTTTGCATATTTGTAAGAAAGTTACTATTTGATGTTCATGGCTTAATGGCTATTTTCATCATTTGTATAATTATATAGTATAGAATAATAGGAGGCATGCAATGTCATTGCGTCTCACCATCATGAAGACAAAGGGCAGAGCAATCAGGATGTTGGCCATGGCAAAGGAGGAGACGCTGGCTGAGACGAGGAATGCCAGCCCCACTCCTGCCAGACTGACCAGGGACATGTTCAGAGCGAAGCACAGGAAGGCCTCGAAGTCAGGCTTCAGACCTGCGCACAAACACCCAAGTCCCCCATTTTATATATATATATATATATACACACAACTCTGCCACATGCCATGTACAAAAATACTCGGACAATACCGCTGTTGTGGCATGTGTGACGTAACCCTAACCCTAACGTAAGACGTACGTAATCCGTAACACTATGGCTGTATCTCAAAAAGTTGACCTGATAGAGCAAAATGCATGTGATATTCGGACTCAGAACACCAAAATTAGTCTAAATCAGTTGAGAAACCCCTGACCATTTTTTGGCTGTCAACTTGTGTAATCAGAGTTGCCACCCAATGCTCATAGCACAAGTCCCTCTGATCCTCTGCAGTTGGTGAGTCCACAGGAAGATGGCTGCTACGTCAGCGGGAGGTTAACCTGGGGTTAAGTGTTTTGCCCAAGGAAACAACGGAAACGACAATAGCAGTCATTAAAGGGCGCTGTTGGAGTGGGTCCCGTAGTGGGCTCAAACCCACAACCTTCAGGCCCAAAGGCCAATGCTCTGCCAACTGAGCTACTGTCGCCCCACTCTTTTCTAATCTTAACATTTTACAACTGCATATTGGTTTCAGCATAGCTGATAACACAGCCTACCTCTTGCATGTGTTTAGAGGTGAAGGTGAATATATTACCCATCATGTAGTAGGCGATAGCTGAGAAGATGAAAATGGGAATGATTCGGTTTGGGAGCAGGTCGGCAAACATCTTGGACAGGAAATACACAGAGGTGCGGTAGTAGCCACTGGAGTTCTCATGACTGCAGTAAACAGAGAGTAAGTTTACAACACAATATTCTTTAAGCCTGTACTGGATAGGTCCATGTTGAGCCGACTGTATGTAGGAATTGACAATGCTAACCTGTTAGCTCTATGACGCCTACAAGAGAAGTGCTCATGGGCAAATGTATGCTCCAACTCACTCTGGCTCCTGTTAATTAGACTGAAAAGTATATTCCTCGAATGTCACACTCACCATTTTGGGTTGAAAAGTATTTTGATAATATCTGTGTAAATCCTATGTCCCCTAACAACTGACCAAACACGTGCCCTCTGACCTCTAATACAGCTTGCTAGCGAATGGGAGGAACAGACTAGTGTCACTTCTCATGTCTTCTTCCACAATGAGTCAAACACTATGGGTGACAGCACTCGTGAGTTCACTCTTTCCACAGACTATGGTAATTATAAGTTATGATCTTGTGATCAATATATATAGTGGTCCATAAATATTCGGATAAACTGTAGATACAATTGTCAAACTTTGGTTTAAAAGACAATAGCAGACTATCAGCTTTATTGTGAGGGTAACCACATCCAAAGTATGTGAAAGGTGCAGGAATTACAATAGTTGTTTCCCACTTTTGGAGGAACCAAAAGTATCAGGGCAGATCCGTCCCATGGATATATATATATATATATAATCAGACAATAGCACAGTCAGGTCCATCACACAAACAAACTATTCTCATATTGTTGAGTGTATACCTACCAATAAAATATCTGCAAAACAGGAGTAAAAATACTGTCACTTTTTACTATAGATATATATATATATATATTATATATATATATATATTTCATCAGACAATTATATATCAGCCCCCCTGGACTGCCACCTTAACGTGGTGGGGGAGTTTGAGTACTCGGGTGATCCTGGGGGCTATGCTGTCTGGGGCTTCATGCCCCTGGTAGGGTCTCCCATGGCAGACAGGTCTCAGGTGACGAGTCAGACGAAGCGCAGTCCACAACCCGTCATGGATCGCACTAAAAGAGAAAAAGTGACGTCGCCCGGCATGGCGCAGCCGGGGCCCCACCCTGGAGCCAGGCCTGGGGTCGGGGCCCGAAAGCAAGCGCCTGGTGGCCAGGCCCACGGGGGCCGGCCGGGCTCAGCCCGAAAGGACGACGTGGGCAGTCCCTCCTGTGGGCCCACCACCCGCAGAGGAGTCCGTGGCGGCTCAGTGCAGAGAGGACTGGGCAGCAGTCGAAGGCGGAGACCTCGGCGACCCAGTCCGCACACCCAACATCTGGCTCTTGGGACGTGGAACGTCACCTCACTTGGGAGGAAAGAGCCCGAGCTTGTGGGGGAGGTCGAGAGGTACCGACTAGAGATAGTCGGCCTCACCTCCACACACAGCTTGGGCTCTGGAACCCAACTCCTTGAGAGGGGTTGGACGCTCCACTTTTCTGGTGTTTCTCGCGGGGAGAAACACCAGAAAAGTCAGATCAGGCCCCCCTGATCTGAACCCGAGTGGTGTTCAGTCGTTGGACTTCTGTGCTAGTCACGGTTTGTCCATCACGAACACCATGTTTGAGCACAAGGGTGTCCACCAGTGCACGTGGCACCAGGACACCCTAGGCCGGAGGTCGATGATCCAGTTGTTGATCGTATCATCTGACCTTCGGCCGCGTGTTTCGGACACTCGGGTAAAGAGAGGGGCGGAGCTGTCAACCGATCACCACCTGGTTGTGAGTGATCGGTTGACTCCCTGGGGAGGTGTTCCGGGCACGTCCCACCGGGAGGAGGCCCCGGGGAAGACCCAGGACACGCTGGAGGGACTATGTCTCTCAGCTGGCCTGGGAACGCCTTGGAGTCCCCCCGGACGAGCTGGAGGAGGTGTGTGTGGATAGGGAAGTCTGGGCGTCTCTGCTTAGACTGCTGCCCCCACGACCCGGCAACGGATGAAGCGGAAGAAAATGGATGGATGGATGGATAATCAGACAATAGCACAGTCAGGTCCATCACACAAACAAACTATTCTCATTGAGTGTATACCTACCAATAAAATATCTGCAATAAACGGTGGTTGTTTGCATCCAAAACAGGAGTAAAAGTACTGTAACTTTTTACTATAGATATATATATAATCTAAACAACTTTTTACTATAACTTTTTACTAATATATATATATATATATAATCTATATCTATATGCAAACAGCCACCGTTTATTGCATATATTTTATAGGTAGGTATATACTCAACAATATGAGAATAGTTTGTTTGTGTGATGGACCTGACTGTATTGAAAGATCATGAAATGACACAGAAACAAACTCACACAAAGATGGCTCTCTCATTAATGAACAGCTCCACTGCAGACAAGTTTCCAAACACCATGTTGATGATAAGGAAGAAGAATGCTCCCCCTCTGAAACAAGCTACACTTAGTACATTAGTATACAGTATACAGAACATGTCCAAACTACAAAATATGCCTGCCTGTTCTGGAGGGCCTCAGGCATTGTCAGGGGCATCTGGAAGTAAATGAGCCCCACCAGCAATGCAAAGAAGATGTTCAGAGCCAGCTGAGCATATGAGGTTTGTGGGTTGCGCAGGATGTTCAGGGAGGTGCGCGCACACACCACTTTGAGCTGTCAAACACACGCACGCACGCACGCACGCACGCACGCACGCACGCACGCACACACACACACACACACACACACACACACACACACACACACACACACACACACACACACACACACACACACACACACACACACACACACACACACACACACATTAAAGAAGACATGCTGTGCTATTGTCTGCTATATTTGACCCATAACTTTTTACACTCAATATCCAAAATCTATATATTGATCTAAAACGATTTACTATTTCAAGTGAGTGGCCTCCGCTTATTTTCTGGCTTTTGTCCACAAAACTCTAAGCCTTTCTGCTCATGTCCAAACTGTCTCTATTAACTCGCTGTGACAGGTGGCTGTGCTGAACATATACTTCCCACAGGTAGGCACTTCCCGGGCATGGCACAAGTTTAATATCAAATACACAGTGTAATCATTTACAGTTCATGATTTACAAACATTCTAAAACATGCAGACCATGGGCCTTTTGCGGCCTGTGAAAAGACATTTTGTGGCCCCCTAGTGGAAATCAAACTTTAATGTCAGTGTGGCCCCCACAGAGAGTCTGTGCAAATATACGAGGGGTAAGATATACATAATACATTAAAGCTAATTTTATCAAGAAAACAACCATAAACATTGAACTCTGAATACAATAAGCAATAATTCAAAGTATACATTGTTAAACCTCCTCTATAATGCAAAGCCTCATTGCTTTTAGTTCAGTTTTGTTTCAATCCAAGCAGCTGGACTTTTGTTTGCAGAAATATATAACAATTATATCAAACTTTTATTCAATAAAAGTAATTGTTTGGTCTAAATACCTTCATGATTTTACAAATTCAAAGATTTTTGTCTCTGTCCTACGGGCCCAAATGTTTACTTTCTCAACTGATAATGTAAACAATGTGAAGATGGCACAGTTTGAAATGTAGCAGTTTATTATATTCATCCAGGAGCTAAACTGCATGTGCAAAGTAAAATAGTGTGTGCAATTTTAGTGGTTTGCTTCTGTCTCTGCGTGTGCATGCCCAGCTTCAGCAGACACAACCTCATGCGGATGCCAGATAAATTGAGTTTGAGACTCCTGATTTAGAATCACTATGGTAATTGTTTTTAAAAAGTGTTAAAGAACGCTCCACATTTGGATAACTCAAAGCACAAAGACTTTTTAAAATCTGGGGAGAAAGTTTGGGGAGACCAGATATTAAAAAATTAAAATAAAAAAAAATAAAAAATTGTTTGGGGAGACCCACCCCTGGAAAATCTGGTTTGGGGAGACTCTGCCCTGGACTTTACCGTGGTGGGGGTTTGAGTACTTGAATGATCCTGGGAGCTATGTTGTTTGGGGCCCCTGGTAGGGCCTCCCATGGCAAACAGGTCTCGGCCGGTGATAGTTGGAGAGGGGTGATCGGGAAGAACGGCCCCCCTGAACCCGAGCAGTGTCCAGTTGTTGGACTTCTGTGCTAGTCACGGTTTGTCCATTATAAACACCATGTTCGAGCACAAGGGTGTCCACCAGTCTAGGACACCCTAGGCTGGAGGTCGATGATCGACTTTGTTGTTGTATCATCTGATCTTCGGCCGCGTGTCTCGGACACTCGGGTGAAGAGAGTGGCGGAGCTGTCAACCGATCATCACCTGGTCGTGAGTTGGATCTGCTGGCAGGGGAGGAGGCCGGTCAGACCTGGCAGACCAACTGAGTTAGGGTCTGCTGGGAACGGACTTTCAACTCACACCTCCGGGAGAGCTTCTCCATGGTCATAGGGGAGGAGGGGGACATTGAGACTGAGTGGACCATGTTCTCCACCGGCAGCTTGAAGCTGTGGTCGCAATGTCTCTGGTGCTGGTCCCGACGGTCCCGGGTTTTGCAAACCCAGAACCCGGTGGTGGACACCGGTAGTAAGGGATGCCGTCAGGCTGAAGAAGAAGTCCTATCGTGCCATGATTGTTCGTGGGACTCCTGAGGTCGCTGTCCAGTACTGGCAGGCTGTGCTGTTGCAGAGGCAAAAACCCGGGACAGGGAGTAGTTCTGAGAGTCCATGGAGCATGACTGTCGGTCGGCCTCGAAGTCATTCTGGCAAACCATCCAGCGCCTCAGGAGGAGAGCTGCTGACCTCGACTGGGGAGGATACTTCCATCTCTCTGGCTGAAGTCACCAAGGTGGTTAGCTATCTAAAGTCTCTGGATGTTGTAGGACTGTCTTGGCTGACACGTCTCTCCAACATCGCATGGCACTTGGGGGCGGTGCCAATGGAGTGGCAGACCGGGGTGGTGGTTCCTCTCTACATGAAGGGGGACCGGAGGGTGTGTTCCAATTATCGTGGGATCACACTCCTCAGCCTCCCCGGTAAGGTCTACTCCAAGGTACTGAAGAGGAGGCTACGGCCGATGGTTGAATCTTGGACAAAGGGAGAGGCGTCCTGGTCGTGTAACACTGGACCAGCTCTATACTCTCCGTCGGATACTCGAGGGTTCATGGGAGTTCACGCAACCTGTCCACATGTGCATTGTGGTTCCTGTGTGCGCTGTGCTGCGTGCGCAGTGATACGGCCGCTGTACCGGACCGTTGTGGTTAAGAGGGAGCTGAGCCGAAACTCTCGTTTTACCGGTCAATCTTCGTTCCCTCCCTCACCTTTGGTCATGAGCTTTGGGTAATGACCGAAAAAACATTAGAACTGAATGGCACCATCAGGGCAACAATACACATCCTTCTATTTTGGACCAAGTCATTTTCCAATGCCCTGAAATGTAAGAGAAAGAAAAGATGGTGTTTCTGTTGTGTCTCATATTTGGAAGAATTTATCTTAATTTTAGCCCATTTTGACTGCATTAACACAAGATTTGCCAATGAAACAAGAACACTATCATGTTTTGAAAATATAATGTCTCCCTTGGATTGAGAAAATAAAGCAACAGTTCTTGAAATAAGACTAAATGGCTTGTCACATTGGTAATTCTTCTATTAAGACAGTCAGAATGTACTCAAATTAAGATAAAATCCCTTTGATTTAAGCAATTGCTACACTGCTATTTTATAATTTTTTGCAGTGTATGCACAGTTCTTCACAGTGTTCTTCACAACTGGATCATAAAGTGCCACAAACTCACAATTTATAAGGCCCTTTTATCAAATGTATATCAGCTATGAAGGTTTTGTTAAACGTAATTGATCGAAGACCTTCTTTATGATCGAAGCAGTACAGTAGTCAGACCTGGTAGAAGAAGGAGGTGGGGTAATGTGCGCTCCTCACTCTGCCCTTGGCTCCCAGCGGCATTTGGTCCATGTGCTTCAGCTCCTCCAGCATTTCTTTGCACGGCTGGGATTGCTGGTAGGCAGGGCCCAGCAGAGTGTGGCCATTCTCTGTGGACATCAATACTGTTTAAATGGCCATCCACAACATTTGTACGTTTCCCAACTCACTTTCAGAAGTTGATTAAGTTGATTTTACTTTAACTACAACCTCAAAGTAAAATTAACCTAATTTATCAAATAAGGTGAACTTTTCATCAGTAACTTCTGAAAGTGAGTTCAAGTGGCTCACAACAGACAGTTCAAGTTCCAACTTAATTAATTTTATTGTCAGTGAATGCAAAAATCTTAGTAAGGTGAACAATTTTGAGTTGTCGTTTTTACAGTGCAAGGTCACCCAAAGCGCTTTACAATGTTCAGAGTTCAGATATTGTTCCAATTATTAATTGTTCCAATTATTCCACACACGGTGATGACGGAAGCGAGTCGCCGAACACACTGGCACATCAGCCCCAATCAACACCATCCATTCATTCTCTCATTCACATTCATACCTATTGTGCATGTTTTTAGTGGTAGGGGAAACCGGAGCATGAGGAAACCTACGCAGACACGGGGAGAACATGCAAACTCCACTCAGAAAGGCCCTGTCCCGACCGGGATTCAAACCCAGGACCTTCTTGCTGAGAAGCGAGAATGCTATCCACTCCGCCACCGTGCCACCCAGGTGATGATTTTTGGACATTTGACTGTATTTTACACAGAGACACTGCTGCAGTCGTTAAGAATGAATTACGTTATGGAAGTTGTTTTGTTCATTTCAACTGAATGTATCATGGTTAGTTTGATGCTTTCTCTCTGATAATAAAAGCGGTGGTAAATCTACCTTCTGTACCTTTGTGTACAGTAGGTACACAAAGTGTAATGAGCATTATTAAAACAAAGCTAACATACACATATTAATATTGTGAAATGGAATATTGTATACACATTACATTATTTGCATTATTAAAAAACTCACTGTTACATTTAAGTTTGTAACAGATTTACAGTTAAAACTGCGCAAGTATTAGACCGTGTTTTGGAAGGAAGTTTGTGTACAAAAAGTTGGACTTTGTACTGTGTTTGGGTGTTTTTGTAGAGAGTTGAGATCCAATTAGGCTGTATGTGGCCCCCAGACCAAAATGAGTTTGACTCCCCTGCTTTAAAGAAACAACAAAGCTAAGACTCTCACCGCTAAGCACCAAGCAGAGGGGCAGAGAAAAAAAGACAGGGCCAACAGGCTACCGGGTGACTCCTAATCCACACATATAATATTGGTGTCATCAGCAGAGAAATAATTGTATTCAATTTGATCTTTTTTGCATATTTCAATTATGCATAATTAATAATGTGGAGCCTAGTATTGACACTAGTAGTACAACACAGATAATGTCCCTGTATTTTGATTCATGTTGGTCACTCTGTCACTCTCTCAAATAGCTCTCTAACTATTGTTTATTGTTGGTACCTTTAACACCAACATGCCATGGAAGTTAGCCTCTAAATATTTCTTTGGAAATATGTTTATTAATGTGCACTATTTGATTCAAACAAACAAATAAAATGAATACATACAGAATGTTAGTTATTTATGTTATTGAAAGTACCTGTTCTGAAAGGCTCCAATGTTGATTTGCTCTCCCCATTTGTGACGTCCATGAAGAAATCAGCTGGGTTGTCAAAGGCCTCGATTTGAAAGCCTATGGAACAACAGAAGTCTCCTTACATAACGTAGGGCCGTAGGTTTCCTCCGGTTTCCCCTACCACTAAAAACATGAAAAATAAGTCTGGCATGAGACTCCTGTATGGCGACCTCGCTGCCATCTCTGCGTGGAGTAAGAGACAAATCCCCACAATTATAAAGCACTTAGTGACTCTGGTCTGTGAAGTGCGCTATATAAATAAAGACTGTAAAGACCGTCGTGAGTTAGTCTATTCTGACTGTAACACATAGTAATAATTACCATCACTAATTATAAAATATTAACAATAATTATAATCGATTAATATCAACTAATTGCAAGTTGTTGAACATTTTTGTAGCTGGACAGATTTAATCATGCCATGTAGAGGTTTATAAATTACTGTAGAAGGAAAAAAGTGTCAAGTTATTTTCAATTAAACAGCCAATTTTGTTACTGCTTGTCTCTATGTCAGGGGTGCCCAACCCTTTTGCCTGCAAGGGCCAAAGTAAAAATTTGCCAGTGGGCCGCGGGCCAAATACACCGATATTATGCGTCAAACACAAATAAATGTAAATTTGATCAAGTTCCTTTATTTTTTGTTGAATGATTAAATGCATTAATTATTGTCTATCAGTGCAAATCACAGCTGAATGAATGAAAACAACACACTCTTAGTGAAGTGGAGGCTCAAGGGAAAAATGCTGGTTTGAGGAGACTACAGTACGGGAAGATTCCGTTCAGAGAATTAGGGTCCAGAGGAGGGAGATATTTTGTTGTAGCTTATTTACTGGTTATAATCAAATATATATAATCATATAACAGCTATAAATTGGGTCTATAACGCAATATTAGAAAAATACAGCTCTTATTTGGTTGCTCCTAAAGAGTTACAGACATGCCCTTTCTGCAGCGCAGATTGTCAGGTGCACAACAGACGTCACGTAACTAATAATAAACTAGCAATAGAATGAACTTTGAATTATAAATTAGCAGCAAAACCAAACATTTGACATTAGAATACTACTTGAAGTAGGTACATCACGTCAAAATTGATAAACTGAGACTCAAGAAAACACGAGTAAAGTCTGTTAAGTATAAACACAGACATATGGCTAAAGCTGCACATATATATCAAAAAATCACACATGGTATTTACTTTCTGGTCATTAACGCACACTGACACAGGCAATAAAATGAATGAATGAAGGCATGCGGCTGCGTGTTGCTCTAACAATAGCTACGTGCTCAAGTACTGAAATATGCAAAATAGAAACCTAACACGAGGGGCGCACTTATCTGCTCGGCTTTCCCATACTTTCCTACAAGGACAAAAGGCTCATGGGAGATCCTCTCAAATTGATAAAACATGAACATAAAGGTGCCTTGCACCCAATTATTTTGATAAGTGTGTTTGATTTAAAAAACATTTTAGTGCAAGTTGATGTGAACCATGAGTGAGGCGTGCATCTTGATACAACAGTAAAGTATTGGAAAACATCAGTTTGGGTGGCGTGAGCGCGTCTGTGTGTCCAGCCAGCCTGAGGGACGCAGATAGAAACCTCCTTTAATGCATGGAAAACATTTGGTGGGCCAACTGAAATGGTCTGGCGGGCCAACTTTGGCCCGCGGGCCCTACTTTGGGCACCCCTGCTCTATGTAGATGTTGTCGAGTGGCACAAAGAAATTAATTCCTGGTTCTCTTCTGTTGATCTTTGCCAATTTGAAAATGTCGCCGCAAAGAAATCCTCCTGGAAAGCCCAAGACCCTTGATGGATACGTCAACAATGCCAATCCTAGTGGGGCCAATGCTTGCGATAGCCGCCCTAACGAGCCCTTTGTTAAGCCTACGACCACATGACAAATCCCACATGTACGACGTGTGCAAAAGAATATGTAAGGAAATGTCAGAGAAGATTTTGGAAAGACTCAATGAGCGCTTTGACACCAAGTTATAGTCTGTGTCCTCCATACAAGCTGACCTGCAAAACCGCATGGTCAGTCAAGAGCAAGCTACCAGCGTACTTGACGAGCGTGTGGAAGTCAAGCCAGCTCCAAACCAAACTACTGGATTTAGAAGCATGGTCCCGCAGACATAACATCAAGATTGTCGGTATAAAGGAAGATTTAGAAAAAGGAAACCCAACTGACTTTGTTTCCAAACTTATTCCTGAACTGCCGGGGGAATGACACTTTCCCGATCCATTTAAAGTCGACCGTGCGCATCGCTCACTGCAACCCAAACCAGCGGCGGGTGGCAAGCCGCGCACCATCATGGCTCGCATTCATCATTTTCAGGTGAAGGAGCTGATTCTACCCGTTTTTCCGAGATGTTACGTTGCTTTCAATTTTCTAAGTAGTGCAGTCAAAAGGAGAAAGGTTTTTAGACATCTGAAATCTCTCTCTGCTGATTTAATCTTTTTGCAAGAGACCCATATAAAAACAACCATGCAACATAGATTTAAGTGTAATTGGATATCTCAGATATATCAGTCGCCATTTACCTCACATGATCGTGGTGTGGCAATATTCATTAAAAAAAATATTCAATTTCAAGTAACTGCTGTTAACAATGACCCTTATGGTATATTGGTTTCTGGTGCTATAAACTCATCTTCATTAACCCTGCTTAATATCTATGGTCTGAACACAGATGAGCCCAATTTTTTCAGGAAGGTTTTTGATCTGCTTCCAGACAATAGTGACTTAAAAGTAGTTTCGCGTGGTGATATAATGTCTTACGCCTCAGCCATGAAAAAAGAAGAGAGATGAGACTTCGTGAAATTAACAACACTCTCCCTAATTTTTTTTTGCAGCGCTCAGTTCAACAAGGCTGTTCGTTGTCTCCGGCGCTCTTTGCTAATGCATTGTAGCCTCTTGTTGTAACAATAAGAGAACACCTGCAGGTGGAAGGACTTCGAAGCTCAATGGAGCGCCTCCAGACCTTAGTACGAAATGTAATTTGTACTATGGTGTGGTACGACCAGGCTACTATTAGCATTGTCCATCTATATACAATCTTTAGCACACACCCAGGTTCGTGAAGTAGTCCAGAGCATGGGCGGCAGCTCCTGCGTACACCACCTCCCCCTTGTGCATGAGCGTCAGGTGGTCAAACTGTCTGAAGATGGAGTAACGTGGCTGGTGGATGGAGAAGATCACTGTTTTACCTCGACGGGAGAGTCTGCAGGCACACACAGGCACTTTACCAAAACACAAAATACACGTACATACAGTGCCTTGCGAAAGTATTCGGCCCCCTTGAACCTTTCAACATTTCGCCACATTTCAGGCTTCAAACATAAAGATATAAAAAAATTATTTTTTGTCATGAATCAACAACAAGTGGGACACAATCGTGAAGTGGAACAACATTTATTGGATAATTTAAACTTTTTTAACAAATAAAAAACTGAAAAGTGGGGCGTGCAATATTATTCGGCCCCTTTACTTTCAGTGCAGCAAACTCACTCCAGAAGTTCAGTGAGGATCTTTGAATGATCCAATGTTGTCCTAAATGACTGATGATGATAAATAGAATGCACCTGTGTGTAATCAAGTCTCTGTATAAATGCACCTGCTCTTTGATAGTCTCAGGGTTCTGTTTAAAGCGCAGAGAGAACCATGAAGACAAAGGAACACACCAGGCAGGTCCGAGATACTGTTGTGGAGAAGTTTAAAGCCGGATATGGATACAAAAAGATTTCCCAAGCTTTAAACATCTCAAGGAGCACTGTGCAAGCAATTATATTGAAATGGAAGGAGTATCAGACCCGGCAAATCTACCAAGACCCGGCCGTCCCTCCAAACTTTCATCTCAAACAAGGAGAAGACTGATCAGAGATGCAGCCAAGAGGCCCATGATCACTCTGGATGAACTGCAGATAACTACAGATGAGGTGGGAGAGTCTGTCCATAGGACAACAATCAGTCGTGCACTGCACAAATCTGGCCTTTATGGAAGAGTGGCAAGAAGAAAGCCATTTCGCAAAGATATCCATAAAAAGTCTCGTTTAAAGTTTGCCACAAGCCACCTGGGAGACACACCAAACATGTGGCAGAAGGTGCTCTGGTCAGATGAAACCAAAATTGAACTTTTAGGCCACAATGCAAAACGATATGTTTGGCGTAAAAGCGACACAGCTCATCACCCTGAACACACCATCCCCACTGTCAAACATGGTGGTGGCAGCATCATGGTTTGGGCCTGCTTTTCTTCAGCAGGGACAGGGAAGATGGCTAAAATTGATGGGAAGATGGATGGAGCCAAATACAGGACCATTCTGGAAGAAAACCTGTTGGAGTCTGCAAAAAACCTGAGACTGGGACAGAGATTTATCTTCCAACAGGACAATGATCCAAAACATAAAGCCAAATCTACAATGGAATGGTTAACAAATAGACGTATCCAGGTGTTAGAATGGCCAAGTCAAAGTCCAGACCTGAATCCAATCGAGAATCTGTGGAAAGAGCTGAAGACTGCTGTTCACAAACGCTCTCCATCCAACCTCACTGAGCTCGAGCTGTGTTGCAAGGAAGAATGGGAAAGAATTCCAGTCTCTCGATGTGCAAAACTGATAGAGACATACCCCAAGCGACTTGCAGCTGTAATTGCAGCAAAAGGTGGCGCTACAAAGTATTAGCGCAAGGGGGCCGAATAATATAGCACGCCCCACTTTTCAGTTTTTTATTTGTTAAAAAAGTTTAAATTATCCAATACATTTCGTTCCACTTCACGATTGTTGATTCTTGATTTAAAAAAATATTTTTATATCTTTATGTTTAAGGCCTGAAATGTGGCGAAATGTTGAAAGGTTCAAGGGGGCCGAATACTTTCGCAAGGCACTGTATACAGCATGAGAACATGTTTGAGAAAAGGCATGTCAAACTCAGGGGCCAAATCTGGCCAGCAAGACTAAATTTAGTGGCCCCTGAAATTATTTTCAAGTATCATTATCACAGTAACTTGCAGCATTAATGGTAATTAATTTCAAAGCTTAGTTTCTCAGGATAACAACCATGTAATTTAATCTGTTATAAGATGTTAACTAACATGTAATTAGAAGTTAAGTTAGGCTGAAGATTTATGTTATATATTTAACTATGAAACTTCATATTCATACACATCCCTCCCTGATTGGCCCATTTGTAACTAAATCCAACCTACTAGAAAATAATACTCAAACTCAAAATACAAAGAAAAAGATATTAAAAGTAAACCACTTGGATACCCAACCAGCTTATGTTTTTACACTTGGCCCCCGACGAAAATAAGTTTGACCTCCCTGGTCTAGAAAGGTGACATGATAAAACTTGGTTTTGAAGTAAAATCAGCAGCCTGCTGGACTCAAGATCTCTATTCATCCAACTACATACCCCTTCTCAACACAAAATGTAGTTAAATCTGGAATTAGTCTACTTGTGGAGCAGGCCAATGATGCAGTTGGCCGTATTGGAGTCCAGGCCAGTGGTGGGCTCATCCAGGAAGAGCAGAGAGGGAGATGTGATGAGCTCCATGCCGATACTGCAGCGCTTCCTCTCTCCTCCAGACACACCACGCAAGAACTCTGTGCCGATCTGAAAAATGTGATGTTAAAACCATAAAATTTAAATGCCCCATATTATGCTTAATTACTTTTCCCTGCTTTAAACATCAATAAAGTACTAAAGTGCTGTAGTTAGAGAGTGAGGAGGGAGGCGGAGAAGCAAAGAGGAACCGTGAGCCACTCGTTTCAATTGATGTGACATCACCTCAAGAAACGGCTATAAGTTCTGAACGTTGCATGTTGTATCATCTAAATTATTATGACACGTATGTTTAGGATTAACTGTGAAACATGAAGAGGAGCGAAATGTGGGACCTTTAAAGTATATTTCAGCCATTCCCAACTTCATCGTCATTGAGCGCCCCCTGATTGATCCAATAAAAAAATGACACATTATTCAGATTTTTAAAAAGGTTTTTTGTTTGAAATTAAAACTAAAATGATCTGAATATTAAAAAGATCGTCATGAGCTTTGGGTAATGACGACAAGGATGAAATTTTGGATACAAGAGGCAAAATGAATCCACCACAGCGACAGGATGAGGGCTGAGTTAACAGACGCAGTGCTTAGAATTGAGAATAAAATGATTTAAAAAGATTAAGAGATCCGACAAACAGAAGAAGCTCGAAGCAGAGTAGCTTCTTCTCCATGTCAAGACGTGGCTCGGACATCTGTTTCGGATGCCCCCTATATGCCTCCCTGGGAGGTGTTCTGGGCATGTCCCACCCTGAGTTTTGTAATTTAAAATCACTATTTCTTGATTTTATATATTTTCTCATTTGCAAAGAGCAACTGACAGAAGCGCTAGTATGTAGCTTTACCATATACTGTATACATTGAGCTCGAAACCATGACACAGGATTGTCTTCTTTTCTTTGTGAAGCAGGATTCACCAAGCATTTGGAGTGTTCACTCACTAATAGAGAACGTGGCTCTGCATTTTTTGACCCAAAATGCAGTGTCGACAGTGAGATGTGGTATTGTTTGGAACTGTGTTGCTTTTCACCACTGCAAATGTCCATTTCCCAAAACTTCCACTCCCACATTTCAAATAAATGCAATTTGTCCCGCGTGTTTATTAAAATTAGAGTGTCGTTAGTGTGTCCTTCTCTGTCAAATAATTACAATTTTACTGGGGTCTAAACTTTAAACCTCAATATCTCAGACTGCGAGGGTGCCGAGACAAAATAGATTTTGTACAGAATTTCTGCTCTGACAAATGATGGCAAAATCTCTATATATCTACTTTGTAAGCTGAGATAGAACACAAAGATTTTGTATCACCCATAGAGTGTATTTTAGGAGTGGACTGACCGAGTGCGGACATCACTATAGTGTTTGCCAAATGCCGAAGAAGCCGATTTGAACCTAACCTAGCTGGAGCGAATTTACGTAAATGGACATTTGTTCCATGGGCATTAGCTTTGAGCGGTAACAGAAACAGTGTTTCTAAGGTGACTGCTAAGGCAAGCTGGAGATTCCCCGGCAAATTATGGAATCTGATTGGTCAAGCCTTAGATGGCTATCTGCATCTACAGAAGTCAATATCACAGCATAAACACCAGGATCAAAGAGAGCGCTAAACCAGTATTTTTGAAGCGTGACACAATTTTTACTGAGCTGGAGGAGTTTACTTTTCAATGTATTTAAATAGGAGCAAAGGCGAGCCGGAGCAAAACTTAGTTCATGAGTGCTTCCCTGTTGGGCTTCTTTGAGCTAGCAGGTTAGCATTGTTCTGGTAAATACCATGATCTATTATAATCAGGAGTGAACATAAGTGGTACGCAGGTGCGCATGTGCAACAAATATCAGAAATGTGTACTATCACTTGAGTTAGTAAGCGCCTTTGCATACTTTAGATCTACCAGTCCTTCTCAAATAGTGAGGCGCTCCTCCCTAGGGGGGCGTGGTGCAATACCAGAGAGAGTGTGCGTGATCGCAGGGCACTTGCTGCTGTTTGCTGTACGTACTCGAACGGGATTCCAAATCCTCCGTGGCAGCAGCGTTCTGACTCCAGAGCCACTCTGGCCGCTTTGTAATGACAGCGGCTCCTTTACAAGCACGTAGCCGAACGTGGTCATAATGTACACAGCGCGGACCATTCTCTGCTTGTTGCAAGTGTGTGCCTTTGCGTAACGCCAAATAAATAAAAACATATTGCGTTACGGCAAGAAACAGAGCTGGACTATGGAGCCTTCAGGGATTGTCCATGTCTCCCCATTGTCTCTAAAATAAAGTTGTGGTACCTACATTTTCTCTTGCATTAATAATGCATAATAATGTTTGTTATGCCCAAAAGTAAAATGTTGTGAACAAATCAAACAGAATTTTTTTTTTTTTTTTTTTTTTTTTTGCATTTTTAAGAAAGAGCCCTGTGAGTCATTATTTGACTTGGATTGATTGGATTATCTGAGCTGATCTAAACTTTAACATTAAAAAGAAGCAAGTATAAAATCTTGATTAAGAACAACGGGACAAATGGAGTGAGTACCAAAAACCATCTCCTGGTACTCATCTGAGGACTTCACTGAAAAAGTTATGTGCACCCCTGATTATAATAACTGGATAGGGTATTACTAGCTTGGAGCTGAAGAGCACGTGGGATTCTCACGGTACTGCAGACTAAATAACTTGTTATGCAACACTGCAATTTCCCCACTGTGGGACGAATAAAGGATCTCTTAATCTTAATCTTAAACCAGACTAAATTCACGTGGGTCCCCATAGAACTCAATGTAAACTAAAACAACTCGACCTCAGCTGACAAAGAACCTACAGCTTTCACAAATTTTGTGGGGATTTTAGCGTGCCTTGTCATCCTGAACTTTTTTTCTTCTTAAATCCGTTGGTTTTCTTTAAATCCGCACTTTAGTGGCACAAACTCTGATCGTTAGGCCCCCGCTCTAACTTCCGCTCTGATCAGCAGCTCGGCCGAGCCCCTCTGTGCAAGTGCATGAGAGCCACACACGCGTATTTGGCACAACGCATCATGGGAGCTCGTCCACTGCGCAGAACCGGGAGGACCAGACGATGCCCAAATATAGGCGAGTTCCACTAATCTTTCAGCGCCCATGCCGGCACATGCGCCACTGAGCACAAACCATTCATTGGAATACGGCGCCATTGGATCGCCGGGGCTTGGTATATACAGTCTATAGCAAGGTAAAGCTACTATTTTCTTCAGGGAGCCACATTTGGATATTGCCCTATTGTGGGGGGCCGGGCATGTTTTCATGTGGTTAATCTTTTTTTTTATTTAGCAAAAAGCTACTTCAAATTACTACTAATAATATTTTGGGTTCATTAATAGAACAAAATAAATGTATAACAGGCCATAGTAGCACATAATAAGTTATAACCCATTTTTGATTATTATTGATTCATTTTAATGAATGAAATGTGAATCGGGCCAAATGTGGCCCCCTGAGCTGCACTTCGCCCAGGTCTCGTCTATGGTCTTACCCTGCCCCGTCGTGAATAACATGAGAAAGTTTGGCCGTGTTAGTACCTTGGTGTGGGCGCAGTCAGACAGCCCTAGGTCCTGGATGATGGTGTCCACTCGGAGCTGCTTCTCTTTGGCGGAATGCAGTTCAGGGTCCAGCCGCAGATTTGCACTGAACAGGAGGTTTTCTCTCACGCTCAAGGTGCCCATCAAAATGTCATCCTTCATTGCAATTTATGGAAACAGGGAAAAAAACAAGGACCCTTTATACAGGTGCAGTAGGTGTGTGCTAAATGTGTTGTAAAAGCAGCTTTGTGATGCAGTGTTTAACAGTCATTGAAACCATAAGTGCGTGCTAGGTTTTCTAGTTTGTGTTTTTGTGTGTTTTTTGAGAATTAATTCATACAAAAACTAAGATTAAAAGATCCTTTATTTGTCCCTCAGTGAGGGATCACCAGCTACATAACAGAATGAGGAGCACACAACACAACATAAGTAAACAATAACTCCGTACCATAATAAAATAAATGTAAATAAAATAAATAAATAAATAAAAATAAACTTTAGCATAACAAAGCCAGAGCTGCTGAGCCTGTACATGTCATCTCATCTGTAAATCGTATATATTGCCATCATGTGCAATGTACAATATTGCAAATTCAGAATGTCCTATGATTGTCTGTATGTGCGCTGCAACATTGAAATTTCCCCACTGAAATGTTTCCGCATGAATAAAGGTTCTCTTATCTTATCTAAAGAAGCAAGTATAACATTTCTAGCTTTAGCAAAATACTGAAGCAAGTATCAAACTATAGTACAGAATGTTCCGTTTAATATCTTGGATTTATTTAGGATAGGGACACCGACCTGCAGGGACTTCAGATGGAAATGAGTAGTTTTGCTATGACCTGGTATAAGGCATGTAAAATTGTATACTGTCTTCTTCAAATAAAGACACCATCACAGGAATGTGGTTTATATGTTTCTCAAAACATGTCTCTCTGCCTTTTCTCTCATTTGTGGACGAAGCAGTAAAGTCTCTCAGTACCTGGACCACGTATGCCGAGCTGAGCCGGAGTTCTGAGGTCACCGGCTGCCCATCCACCAGCACACGTCCCTCCCTGAGCCCCTGGGGGTCTTTCCTGCCTGCCAGTACGTCCAGCAGCCTGATATCACAAAGCAGTCTTTATCTCTGGGCCAAAGTTCTCACACGTGTCAAGCCGAGTGCCAAGAGTTAAAGCATGGTTATGAGTGCACGTGTGTGTGTGTGTATGTGTGTGTGTGTTTTTTTTTTTTTTTTACAGTTGTGCTTGGAAGTTCACACACTAATTACTTACTTCAGAGATTACAAATGATAATGTATGTGGTTGTGAGCTATTTATCATAAATTAAACGTGTTATCTATTTTCAACTGATAATGACAAAATATAATGGAAAACAGAAACTCCTCTTTTGTTCCTGATCAGAAGTCTCTCCATCCCCGAGTTCTCAGTATAGTATTTTTCCCTTTAACATACATGACAGCTAAAGTGTTTTTGCTGTTGTTGTGGAAGAGGTTCCTTATCCTCATCTCTGATGGTAAAGTTGACCATTCTACGTCTATTTTCCAGTTCCTGAAAATTCCTTGGGATCTCCCAAAGCGGCTCAATGATGTTATCATAATGTTATCTGGCGTTGAGTTTATAGTTATATTTTTTTTTAACAATGTCCAGCCATACATCCATTTCCTGCCCCTTAATTAATCCATTTCTGGGTTGGAGGGGGGTGTGGCAGTCAGAGCTGCACTCAGTACACAGAGCACCAGCCCCTCACTGATCCTCCTGAGTGGATCAGTGAGTCCACAGGAGCCTTGATTATTCAGCAGGGGCTTCAGGCAAAGTAGGGTTAAGTGTCTTGCTCAAGGACACAACAACAGCGGAGTCACTGATGACAACGTTGTGTAATGTTTTTTTGCATAATCCTCCAATCAGTTTGTCTCTATTCTTTTATCTAATCACAATCTGACAGTCACTGTGACAGAAACTTTGTAACTCTGGGACCTTTAGCCCTGCCTGAGTTTTGAACTTGGTTGCTGCATCTTTTGAATACCACACCTGGAATCAGCATCAGTAAGTATACCACATGCAGTCAATATTTTACCCCCAAGATATTTCTTTGGGAAAAATGTTTTACTTTTACTTTACTTGTTTGAAAAAGTGTGTGAGCCTTACGAGGTTTTCCCACTGCCTGTTGCCCCCATGATTGCGTTCATCCCCGGCCTCATGATGCCACTGGAAAACATGATCAAAAGGAGAATAATTAAAGAATTGTGATCATTCTTGGATCTCAAAACAATGCTCTTCTATCTATCCATCTATTTATATAAATATACATATGAATCTATATCCTATCTAATAAAAAAAAATTGCATTATTTATCTAAAAAGGTGGTGTTGTGAACAGTGAGTGTCTTACCTGACATCTTTGAGGATGAACTTGTTGAGGCCCCTCTTGCGGCAGAACCTGGAGTCCTGGACGCAGTAGTGCAACTGGTGGAAGGTGACAACAGGGCCACTCTCCTGACCATGCTCCTGTAACTCACACACAACCGCTTTCTCTTTAGACATTCTCCAAAAGAATAATGAAAGCTGCTTCTATACTGTGACTCCAACTCCCTCGCAGGTGCAGCCTGCCACGATAGCGAACAGTTACTGTAGCCTATGACAGTTTTAGTTGTAAAATGCACTGCACTTTGAACTCTCTCACACTTGGAAAAGAAAAAAAAGACAGTACATTTTAATGACCTGTATAAACTACCATATCACCTTGTGGCAGCGGGTTTACTGTAAAAATGAAATATATATTAAGAATATAAATAAAACACAAGGACATACAAAATCCAATCTGGAAAATAAATATTATACTGATTATGTTGGATTTTGAAATCAGAGAGTAATTTATCTATTCTATTCTATTCTATTATAATTATTACTAAACTAAAACATTATATCATGTTTTTTCTCTCCATCACAGGACGTCGAGGCTGTTAAGAAAGTGCTCTACTCCCCAACATATGTGGTTATTGGAATTTGTTTGTCTTGTATGAGTAAAAAAGCATGCAAAAGCAGTGGCAGTGTGAAAAACTAATAGAAATGGTTTTGGATAAACTCGTATAAATAAACTTGGGAAACAAAGATATCTTGCTTTGAAATTAATCCTAAAGGAGTATTTGGAGATTACATTGAAATTAATCACACAGTCTGAGGTTCAAACAATACAGTCTATGATTCAAACCCAGGGTCCTCAAATGCAAACATGCACCTCGAAAACAACATATTATTAGAGTACAGTCGTCAAAAGTGTTATTAGTCAGTGCACCTCTATCGGACAGAATGCGCATAACTCTGGGTGGGATCAGTCATGAATGCGTCCCATCTCTGACTAAAAAGCATCCTCGAATCTTTACCACCTCATATCCTAACCTACACATCCCGCCCACATCGGATGGACATCACAGACATCCACAGAGTAAAGCAACAGCTGTGTTCTCATTGGTTAAATACTAACTATAGGCGGGACTAACACTGAGGGCCCTTCGAGGAGCCTCACAGTTGTCAGAAATTGGACGCAACCGCAGTGTTGTTTTTCTCTGACCTTTTCTTTTCCTCCCACTAGCCAATCAGAGCCGGAGTTCATCACTTAGCCCCGCCTCTTTGACTCCTTTCCACCAATTGCGTCGCCCAAAAGTGAGAATGTGGGCGGAGTTTCGAGTGTGTGCCAGCTCCAGAAATTCCTAGGTGTTGTCATCGCGGCGTTCTTTAGTTTCACACTGAGCAGGCGGAATTCAAACGTACATAATGTGGCTCTAACCGCAGCTGTCTCACACCTTATCCGCGTAGATCGCAAGGGTGGTCGTTTTTTTACTTTTAAGACTGAACGACTTTGAGATTTGTCGTGAAATAAGCCCGCATCCGAAGCGTATAAGGCCCGTGATCTGAGCCATGGAGGAGAGGAAGGAGGAGGGGGAGGCGCAGATCCAGGAGCACGGCCCGGAGCACTGGTTCTCCAAATGGGAACGACAGTGTTTAGCTGAGGCCGATCAAGAGGAGCCCAGCGAGGAAGACACTGAGCCCAGCCAGCAGAAGCTTTGGCACCTCTTCCAAAACTCCGCCACGGCAGTAGCGCAACTATATAAAGGTCCGTACTAAAAATAGCCAAGTTTGAGCTAACGCTAACTAGCACGAGCTAAGGCTAAGTAGAGCTAGCCAGCTAATCCAACCTTCCATCTGCTCCTGTTGGTTGGTAATAAATAGCGCTGTGATTTACTTGATGTTGATTTAAAAAAAACCTTTTAGTGCCGCTTAAACTACATGCATATCGGATTGTCACATGCATCAAAAACATGTGTTCGATCTATCCCCTAAACTTCAAGATGGGACATTTAAATTCTAACACAGACCATATGCCTAGAATTATCTAAAGAAAAGGCAACGTTTTAAATGACTTGTATGATAACCACTATTCTCGTGTATCCATGTTTTGTTCCTATTGTTTATATCTGTTAGCTTAATGTTGAATAATTCTGTAAAATGCAGTATTGTTGAAAACGTAGTTTGCGCATTTCACAATCATTGTATAACTTGTGTGTCCAATAAACTTAAAAAAAATAAATGAAACGTAAATATATATAGCGTATACTTTTTAAGTAGCCGTATGAATAACGAAAATCGGACTTGCGGGTGTTTGCATTAACCCTGCTAACAATTTGACTGGGTGGAGAGCCACACACAAAGGGCACCGGATATGCTAATACCCTTAGCATCCTTGGCACCTAGTTTACATTACACTTGAATCCATTAAAGCCAATTTACGTGTTTATTGCTGATTCATTTAACATCCCAGGGCTTGTGTCTGCCTTCCAATTGAGTAAAGATAATGTGTGTGGGTACATTCTTGATTCCGTTTTATTTAACATTTCAGAGACTAACCCGTGCTAACTACGTGCTAAATGCTACTAGCCCACTACCGGTCAGTGTCAGTCTATGGGACAGCTGACTACTCTGTTGCAATCACTCGGGTGACTAGTTACTCCCTAGAAATGACAAATGTACATTACTTGATAGTACATGTTTGTTTACTGTTAATCACTTGAATAGTAAAATAATTTCATTTGAATGGCGTGTAGCCTTTGCACAATATGGCTCACCTAAATGCCATTTGTTCTGCCGATAAGTGATGCCAAGCTTATCAAAATGGCGAAACCCCAGGGTGGACAGCACTGATCAGTCCTCTTTCTGTGACCTCCAGACAAAGTGTAGATACTGAGAAATGTTTTAATGATTTAGGATAATGCACCCACTCGGTATGTGCAAGACATGACTGCTATTGGCTTTGTGTTTATCAATGCACTGCGAGGAAAACACTCCCCAAAATGGCGCAAGGAGTTTGGTAAACGATGTGTGTAAGCAGCAGTAATACTTTCTCGATTGTTTTGCATGTAATATCAGTGATGCTATGGATGGCGATTTGATTTAAAAAAACAAAACAAAAAAAACATATTAATATTGTTCCTCTACCTACTAAACATAACTGCCACTGTCTGTTGTTCAATGTGCATGTCTCTTCTATGCTGGACGCATAGGGGGGTTATGCCATGTTCCACAAAGGGGTAAAGGCAGAAGATGTATTGTCAAAATGGGAATGGGAAATGTATACATGTTCTCTTAAAATATGTTGTATGAAAACAAAACAAACCTGCCGATATTTTTTTTTTCTTTTCTAAAGAGTCTCCCATGGTCAATAATGGGGTGATGCAATTTTGGTCGTTTTTAGTAATTGTAGCATTGCATATTTCTGAGGGACTGCTAAGGTATTGTATTATTATCCCCTAGATGGTATTTGGTCAACATGATGCATATATATCAGTTGAATCCTTTTAGTATTTTCATCTGCTGACTTCTGGGTAGAATACTGCTATGCTGTCAGTATGCTAACACAATGCTTATTACAAAGTCTTGTGTGAGTGATTTGTCACTTGTTTACATTGCAGTAAGCAGTATTGTCTTTTTTTCAGATAGAGTATGTCAGCAGCAAGGCCTGTCTCTCTGGGTGCCCTTCCAGAATGCAGCCACTGCTGTCACTAATCTCTACAAAGGTGAGTGTACAAACCAGGCTTTTCTGAGAGAGAGAACCTACTATGTTGAGATGCACATAGAGAAACTTTCTGTCCGCCCTACTCTACTAGCTGTAATCGAACGACATGTTATGCTAGGACAGTCCTTCCCATTTTTGCTAATCTTAAGCATTCTTGGGTGATAAGAATGCTTCTTGTACTCATGAGTACAACTACCTAATATATATCATACCAATACCTTGCTAGTATTCTTGAATCATGATGTAGTAATTTGGTTAGCTGTCAACTATTATGAATATTAATATATTATTAATATTGTGAATATTAATATGTGGCACCCACATTTTTTGCAGCACATACAAACCATTTCCCTGTAACCGTGCAATTGTTTACGGAGCATTCAAATACATGTGTCATGGTGCTGAATTTTTAATAGATAAACGATTTTATTGTCAGCAGAACTACAAAGGTGCTAGATGCCTTAAATATCTCATGTCTTGTCTTACTGTGTAGAGTGGTCTGAGCAGTACAAGTGTACACGGCATACTACATACAAATTGTCTCCTCAGAGAGCACAGAGGCTCGTCAGCGCAGCTACGACCTGGGCATTCAGATCGGGTGCCAGCGCAGAAATAAGGAGGTGATCGCCTGGGTGAAGAAACGCAGAAGAACCATCCGCCGTGAGGACCTTATCAGTTTCCTATGTGGGAAAGCCCCGCCCCCCCGGACAGCTCGTGCCCCGCCCAGAGTGTCTGTGGTTTCTGCCAATCGGCCTGCCCCTCCAGAGACCGGGAGCTCTGTGGAGACAGACCTGCAGCCATTCAGAGAGGCCATAGCACTGCATGGTGAGTATAGCAAATCATGTTTATGGTAACTCTTCTCAAAGTGATGCTACACAACAACATAACGTTTTTCAAAATGTAAAAACATTTTTACAAACATGAAATGCATTACATTAAGAGCTGCAGACAATACAACAAATCCTAGCCTTTTAAATGTAAATCTTGGTGTCCGTGTCTGACATACTGTTGTGTTCCTAGGCCTCAGTGGTGCTATGGCAAGTATCTCTGTGCGCTCCGGGCCCCCTGGCTCCCCCACACATCCTGCCCAGTCCTTGGGCCGGCGCCGCAATGGCCTCCACGACGTGGACCTGAACACTTTTATTGCAGAGGAGATGGCGCTCCATTTGGATTCCACTGCCAACCGCAAACGTGGCCCTGCCCCCTGTAGTGACGTCATCACAGACTCCCCCACTCATAAACGCAACAGGATGCTCTAGACTCTGCTCCTGTGCCATGGACAGCTGATGAAGACACATGCCTTGGCCCACTCTGATCTTCCCCGTATCACCTGGTTCAAAAATACTACTAATAAAAATCTGACTTTTAGGTGATCTACATGCCTCTCTGGGGCTGGGCTCTGCAACAGAGATTTACCTGAGCTTCACACATGTCCTTAAACCGAGGAGCAGCCCAACTTCTACCAACCAGTGTCCAATGCAGTCAACGTCAGAGCAACATGTTTCCACTGCACCACTTTGAAGGAAATATCAAATGCATAGGAATCCGTGTTCTGTGGGACTTTTCACAAGTTTACGTCAACTTAACAATCATGAACAACAAATGCTGTGTCGATTCTACCTGTAAAAACATCAAATTGTATACACTTTCAGCATTCAGATTAATTTCATCTATGTGAATAAGTTTGATGTTAATATTTGCTGATGTCTCTAACCTGGCACTTCAAATTAGGACTGGGTAATATGGCAAAAATATTGAATCTTTAATGCTTGCATTTTTAAAGGATATTACATTACTTTCATTATATGCCACATTTATTGATCTAATAATAGAAATGGGTTCGTTGAACTACATTCCCTTAGACGAGCAGCAGTGGTTTCGTGGGATGTTTTAATGTTGAACTTATAAGTGTTTAAATAATTCCATGTAAGTACATAACTTTGACTGATAACTTTGGTTGAATGTGAAACAATCAATTTAGTCATTGAAAACATTACAGGCTTACAAATAAACAAGGGTTGAGCTCGCATGGGAGCGCTGAGTTACATGCTTTTTAAAGGTAAAATTTTCCTGCTTCAGAAGTCCAACCGTTAACTGCAATTGGTTGGTTAAATCTACCTGCTCAGCGTTTATTTTGGCTTATTCACAGTAGTAGGTTGGCAAAAAGTTTGCTTAAAGTTAACTAGGATTATTTTATAGTTAATAGGATTATTTAAACCATATAACCCAGCCCTACTAAAAAAAAAAAAAAAGTCAGATGCTAGCTTGCCCTTCTGGGACAAGCTGGAATTCTTGCCATTGTTCGTTTTGTGTCCATTGGTCACAATATTGGACACACTATCCAATTTGTTGCAGCTGTTCTGCAGAAAACCAATCCAACAACGCGCTTGCTTTATAATAAAATGAAGCCACATATCACCATTTTGCCTTTGTATACACATCCCAAAAAGTCCTAAAATCCTCATCACTTTATTTGTGATTTCTTGTCACAGGTTTGCTCCCTACTGCTTGGTGGAAACTGCGCTGTGGAGATTATAATCCTCCATACGTGGATTTTTTCTGAATCCCACTTTCTCGCCACGCTTGTACCTGTGTTGCTTTATGTTACTATTCTCATAATTCAACTGCCATTGTCGGGGCTCTGCCTTTGCCAACGCTGCTAAACTTACTTCCAAAACTCTGGGCGAGGAGCGGGGGAAATGTTCTATTTCAATGCCACACAAAAATGTTGATTATAAAAAGTTGTTAGGGCTGTGCAACATTACAAATGTGCAATACGCGTTCAGGTTTGAATATTGCAGTAACTTTTCATTGATGGTTCTAAACTTTGTAATTCTAACTTGAAATTAGGGATGCACCAATTAATTTGACCAGTCATATTTTTCCCTTCAAATCTTGACTTTTTGCAAAAATGGGTCAAATGTTATTCATCTTGCAAGTAACCAAACACCGAAATACATAGAAGTCTTATTACGTTAGTTCAAAGGATATCGTAAGACAGCCGATATCAAATCCATCATTCTCCTGGATCCCACCGATATTCAACCCGTTTCCTTTTCAGCTCATTGGGTCAGTTTTTTCTTTCTCATCATTCTAAATTGTTTGAAATGTTGGATTATTGTCCTGTTTTTCACAAGTTTTAATTTAACTGCAAGACTAGCGATCAAAGCAAGATTTGTGATGCGGAACTAGTTTATTTTGTTACTTTTTGTATAATTTTGTTCAACAAGGCGCTCCATTGCAGCCCAGCACAGCACAGTTCGGTACAGTTGCCATACATTTCTCTACAGAAAGTTCTCGTTTGGAGAAATAGTCAGATTCAACAATCGCCTTGTGTGACCAATGTGCAATTCTAAAATAAAAAGGAGGGAGGAGGGACAGCCATGTGCATATACAAACCACTATTGTGTGTTAAACAGTGGTGGTTTACTGCCTGGACTAGATCTGACAGATGCACTAAATAGTTTCATCAAGTTTTAAAGTATTTTCTAGAAATAGATATTTTGCTGCTTTTCATTCTACAATTGTTTTGGAATATTTGTCCTCATATTTACATTTTCTGGCAGAATGTATGAGATCTTGACCATTATATGAGAACATAAATTATCAGATTTTCCGGCTCATGGTTATGTTTGGTGAAGCTGTTAAGGATGAAGACCTGAGATTACTAGCAGTCTTTAAATTTCATTTTTAATCCCTTTTAAATAAATGGATGGGGGAATATGGAAGTTATTAGTCAAACTGTAGATTATTGCTTTAAATATTTTCTTTTGAAGATGGACAATACGTTCTCTTAAACCATACTACTACAGCAGAGTATTACAGTTACAAAATACTAAAAGTAGAGAAGCACTCTTTACTGCTTATAAATGTTGACTGCCTTTTAAATTGAGTATTTGGGCTCTTGCGCACTCTTGTGGTGCTGAAGTGTAATGCAACCTAATCAAACGAGTGGAATGGGAGAAAATGATTAGAAGAAATTTGAACACTCTCATGTAGATTCCTTAACACATTGTTTAAGGAACATGTGTAAACACAATACATTTATCTGCTCTTCCACTCATCGGCACTTTCCATCCAAAGTTTTTTGGATGGAAATTCATCTTGGGCATTTGTTTTTATTTTTTAAAGCGAAACACTGCCAGAACTGTGTCGTATGGAACTGCACTGCACCGCTTTGTTTTGAATTTTCAATTTGACAATTTATTTTCTACTATATCCAATGCTTAGGTCATAATACACCGTGTCTGTTTATTTCAAATGCTTTTTATCTGGCCTTTCACAAATGTTTTTGTCATAGGTGGGTAGAGCTGCTGATGACTTATGACTTTAAAGGCAGGAAATGTGTAGCTCCTGATTCGCCCTCCTTAGAGTGCAGGCAGTGGTTGAAGTTGAAATCAGAAAAATTGGTCACTCAAAAATCTTTGCGATCCTCTATACAAGCTATTTTTCTTGTATTTTTCTCAACACATTTTCCCTGTACTTCAGTCACTCCTAGAGGCTAGACATATTTTATCCCTGGAAATATTTAAAACTTATAATTAACTAGTTATTTGGGTCAGCTTAATCATGTTTTGCAGAAGTGGGTACATAAAGTGGTCGATATTCTTATTTGTATAGAGAAATGGCAGATAAGAGGAGAGAATCATAGTCAGAAGCCAACCAGAAAAAATAAAAATAAAGAAATCTAAGAATCTAGGGACATGTTCACTTGTATCGCACTAAATTGAAGGCCCTCCTATTGGCAATAATAAAATACCAAGAACAAAGAAAGTGAATTGCCCTCTAACCATTGTGTTTTCTTGTACATTTGAGTAATTAGGTTTTGACCGCTCTACCCACCTCTTTAGCTGACTTGAAGGAGCTGAGCTGGGGGCTTCGTAAAGTGTGATCCACCCCCTCTCCCGGTTTGAATTCCCCTGTCACAACGCGCCTCTTTTTCCAAAAGTGAAAGTTCGCCATTTTTGTTTTCCATGACTGGATTTGTGTAGGTGGTAATTTGGCGGGATCTATAATGTAAATATAACTTGAGATGGTGCTGTCTATTGTGGTACATAGTGTATAAAAGACTCCTTGTACAATCTGACATTAAAACAATGCAAGTGTTAATATGTGTCTTTTTTTTGTTACCATACATGCAAACGTATCACCTTTTTAATCTTCAAATTGGGGGTAGAAAAAAACATTTTTAACGGTTGTCAGCTCAAGTTAAATCGTTAAAACATTAACTGTTTTATCCCCCAAAGATAATAAAGTAAAATCCAGCTTCTGATGACTACTAATTGCTTCTTTTGTTTTCACATGCATTCATAGTTGGCCTCTGTCACATCTTTCCACTTTTTCAAACAAAAGGGAAAAAGAGAGGACAGCCAAACAACTCTCAGCCCAAGGCATCAAATATATTTGGCTCTTTCTTGAGACACAAGTATGCCATTATTTGAGTGAGTGACCCCCAACTTGGCCCGGCTTAGTCTCAAGGGCCAAAAATCAGCTTATGATAAAACATTATGTGGTGCAAAAACACATACAGTACAGACCAAAAGTGTGGACACACCTTCTCATTCAAAGAGTTTTTTTAAATGAAAATTGTAGATTCACACTGGAGCATCAAAACTATGAATTAACTCATGTGGTATTATGTATGTGCAAACAAAAAAAATGAAACAACTGAAAATATGTCTTATAGTCTGGGTTCTTCAAAGTAGCACCTTTTGCTCTGATTACTGCTTCGCACACTCTTGGCATTCTCTTGATGAGCTTCAAGAGGACCTGAAATGGTGTTCAGACAGTCTTGAAGGAGTTCCCAGAGATGCTGAGCACTTGTTGGCCCTTTCGCCTTCACTCTGTGGTCCAGCTCCCAAACCATCTGGATTGGGTTCAGGTCCGTACTGTGGAGGCCGGGTCATCTGGCCCAGCACCCACTACTCTCCTTATTGGTCAAATAGCCCTTACACAGCCTGGGTGTGAATCTACAGTCAATAGTCATGAAAAGAAAACTCATTGAATGAGAACGTGTGTCCAAACTTTTGGTTTGTTGATTGTGATGAAACCACACTTTGCATTTCCCCCCTGGTCTGCCATCTGAACGTCGTGGGGGAGTTTCAGTAGTACGATGATCCTGGGAGCTGTGTTGTCTGGTAATTTATGCCCCTGTTAGGGCTTCCCATGGCAAACAGGTCCTGGGTGATGAGTCAGACAAAGCACAGTCCAAAAGGCTGCAATGAATAGCACAAAGACGAGAACCGTGACGCCACCCAGC